TAACATATATTTGTTATTTCCTCAATAGGAGTTGGAGTAGTGGTAATTGAGGAAATTTGAATGTCTTCTGTAAAGTCGCTCGCCATATACCTAGTTTTTACAGTTGCAGAGAGTTTCATAGCCTGCTCTGTATATTGAGTCTGGTCATCATAAACTTGATCTTTTGTGTGAGAATGTAACTACTAAATCTATATAAAAAATAAAAGAAAAGTGAACAGAAACAGATAAAAAAAGTAAAGAAAAAAAAACTATTATAGTTTTAATATATATAAACAAAAAGAAAAAAAAAAAGTTACAACAAGATATTGTAACAAAGAAAAAATTATATAGTACTCTAAATAGACTAAGCTTTTACTTTAAATCTATTATATACTATAATATAACCTAGTAGTATAGAGAAACCTACTAGAAGTATAAAGAATAAAACACCAAATAAACACTAAAAAATCTATGCATATGTTTGTTTATATTACTAATTCATTGTTATCAATTTGCACTAATATTACTAATTATTTTAAATATATAAACTACATTGCTACTTTTTGTGAAAAAAAAACTCCAAAAGCCAAATTACAAAAAGAAGAACTGTGTGTATAGAAGTACTAATAGTAAAGATTTGTAAGAGTATACATTATAAGAATAGTATATCTACTAAGTCTATATTCTTGCTATTGCTTAAATATGACTTAACAAAAACTTCTTTAGTTGTTGCTAAAGCTACTTTTTTGATAGCTCTATAGACTTTTACTAGAGAGCCAAACCTACAAGAAGTAGTTTTTTTCAACTCTATTTCATATTGCCTATATGCAATCTACTATTGACTTATAAAATATTAAGGAAAAACACAAAATCCTTAATATCTTTTGATTCATCAGTCCAATTTGGATAAAATATATATCATTAGAATCAGCTCACTAAGGCGAATCTAATGAGCCAAGAATTATTAAAATCCAATCACTGTATCCCAAGATAATGAAGTTCTAGCCTTTTTATAATAATCTGATTGGCTGATAATTACTGCGCAAGATTCATTATATGTAATACATTTATTACCTATAGTTTTTGAAACACTTTTATTATTTATTATATATATAGCACATATACTATTTATTATATATTTTATACATATATTAGTTATATTATATATTTTATTAGTGATAGTTGTAACATATATAGCTCATATAATATACATAGCCTGTTATATTTCTAATATTTTGTAAAGTATAAAAACAGTATATGTGAACTTTGATTTTATTATTGAGTCTTCATACTCTTTCATAATAAAAGTACTTTTCTGATACTTTGAAATAAACAATTATTGATATCTTTATATATCTTTAATTGTTGCTTCTTTTATAATTGCAAATTACTCTAAATCTTTTTTATTAAGTTTTGTAAAAACACTCTAAAGACTTTGACAAAATATAGTAACAAGGATATTATGCAAAGTATTTTCTGTTATTAGTCTCTCTAATTAGTTGTTCTCTCTAAAGAAGTAGAAGTAATGTAACAATATCAATTAGTTATTAGAAATATAACAGAAAATTTAAGTATGATATAATATTACATAAATAAATCTTGATAAGATCTATAAGCAGAGGATCTGTATAGAAGAAATCTTAAATTAGATGATATAGTACAGATTTCAATAGTTATACCAGTTTAATACTTGATCTAAAAGAAGTCTAGAAATAAAATATGAAGACCAAGTAGGTGCAAATAAGTCTATAGTATAACAGAAAAGTCAAGATAATATAATATTATACAAATAGCAATACTAGTTGGCTTGCTAGCTAACTAGATTTAGGAGAATTTTCCTTGTAAAATATTTAAAAAAACTGAACTAATTTGATAGAGAGCTATAGCTAGAACTAAGTTTGTACAAACACTAATAAGAGTATATACTAGCTTAATTGAGATACAACACAGCATAGTTGGAGTTATCCACAAGCCCTTACTAGAATAGAACTATAAAGGTATCTTGTGATAAAGCTTAGTTCTATGAAGACAAATTAGACACAAATTAGTCTGAGTAGTCTTCAAAATGAAGCAGTACAAAATTAGCATAGATTATAAACATTAGATTAAAAATAAAGTTTTACAGTGATGCTAGAGAGTTTAAATAAAGTATCTACAGGCAGATACTAGGTATAGCAATTGGTAAGTAACCAATATAGTAGAACCTATAAATAAACAATAACTAAAGTTATATGTGTAGCTAATTATACTCTCACTAACAAATATAACTTGAAAATAATACTTAATAAAAATCTGTGAATAGCTTGTTGAAAAATAAAAAAATAAAAATAAAAATTAAATATAATCATAAAAAATTTTATTAGTAATATCTTTCAATTTTTTGTAAAAATTTTAATTGAACATGCAAATCATATGATAAAATGATCTACATGGACTCTACCCTTAAAATTTCTTTAAAATTTCTGTATTATAGTTACACAAGATCCTGCAATTTTATTGATTAATAATATAACTGGTGAATTTCACCTCCGGTGAGCAATATATATTTAAGAAATTTATATTTTAATAATATTTTAATAATATAGTAAATATATAATAGGTATATATTAAACCGATTTAGCAAAAAATGTATCTTTTAATGAAGAAATAGGGTCAGACATCGAGCAAATGATAAAGTCGCCTGCAACACCATTTTCCCGAACATCAACCGCAATTAAGTATTTTTCAGGTAGGACTTTTGCGTCTGGTACTGGAACTGGCACTGTTGTATGAATTTCGGTTCCTTTTAGAATTGGACATGTAATTCCAGTAGCAATACATAATTCTATAGAAAATGGGTCAACTATTGGGACAGGGAACTCTGGATCAGGTTTTGGTTCAAGGAATACAACCTCCAATACATCAGATGAAAATGCGGGTACATCACGGTCTAGTTTTCCAGTAAGAGTAACATTGACATTATTCCCGGGAACAATATGATCAGGTGAAAGAGTTACAGTAGTGAATAGGGATACAGGCTTAAAAGTACGGCATAGTCCAAAATTAGTGACTCTTTTATGAAGTTGAGCATTAACTATTGAAAGTGTAGCCAATAAAATGAATACCAAAATGAAATTTTGATTCATAATTGAATGTGATTAAGGTGAAAATGGTTTATTAAAATATTTTTGTTTAACTATTGGGTTTTTAGGATGTTTTTTTCTAGTTAGAGAAAGTTGAATTCATTGCTCATTTATAGCTTTTCGTAAAGTCGCACTTTTGGTCAATAAATTTAGTGCGCAACGATCCAAAAAGAGGCATTGGTTAAAAACAACCATACTGTAATATTATTATTGCCCGATTAGTAATAAGTTTCATACTACAATCTAAAAAAAATCCAAGGAGTAAAGTGAAGAAAAATTTTAAATTATCTAAAATCATATATATCATTTAAATCGAAGATGAAGATCTGAGATTGACGTTAAATTTATTAATTATATATGAAATCTTGAATGTATGAACGTTACTATTTTAAAACAATTAAAAACAACCATACTGTAACCGTATCTATTAAGGGTAGATAGGTTTGGGACGAATTTGTATACAAAAACTAATAAACTGGGTTTATTTCTTTATTAAAAAGATTGCAAGCGAAAGCCTAATTAGCTTTCTTTCTTTTACACATTTTTATATCGCATTTTACAATACAATTGCTTAACTATGACTACATTTGAACGCATGGTCGTTACGCTTTCTAATGACTAATGTTAACGCGATTCCGACCTTACATCACGTTCACGTGATGTGCCTTTGTTTTATGAATCTCCGATACGAACTTCCAGCACGTTCGTTATGCGACACGTGCATTGTGCAACGTGGTTCAATAGTTCCCTTACACATACTGTAATATTATGAAAATCATTAACGAATCTGATTATATCAGATTAAATTTGCCAGAAGCAAATGATACTAACGAAGAATATTTCTTTAAAGTTTCGTCAACTGTTAATTAGGTAAATTTATTACTCGCTACTTAAAAGTAATAAATTTACCTAATTAACAGTTGACGAAACTTTAAAGAAATATTCTTCGTTAGTATCACTTGCTTCTGACAAATTTAATCTGATATAATCAGATTAGTTAATGATTTTTCATATGATCGAATGCATTTTCATATAAAACGTTTACTATAATCAGCAGATCTTAAGGATCGACCCTAGTTCACACATTCAAGATTTCATAAATTCAACGTCAATCAACCGAATCCGGAAAGCACAGGTTACTATTATCACGATAAATCACTAATGATTTTAATAACCTGTACTTTCCGGATTCAGGTTTTCCCTTGGCCAGCACTCATATATAATTAATCTTTTCGATTTAAATGATATATGGGGTTGAGTCAATAGAAATCAAGCAAATTTTTTCTAAGTAAATTTTTTTGAAACTTTAACCAACAATAAC